AACTGACAACAAGAACGCCACTGACATCGATTAGCAGCCATATCTTTTAGCGTCTCCTACTAGGCTCAGTTGGAATCGCGCAGCCTCCATCCTGGAAGGTGGGTCGGGTCAACAGCACCTAAACGCTTCGTTATCTCTTTCATACCCAGGGGAAGTCGAGATGCAGAGTTCGGGTTCGAACCACGGACCTCCCGGTCAGTAACTTCGCGCTCTAACCACTTGGTATCTTTAGTTGCAATAGCTAATTCATAACCTTCACAGTCTTTGCTGAAGCGGTATACTCTAAGAACAACGTAATTGCACAAAGTTTTCAATTATCTGGTGAGAAAGAGGCAATGGAATCAAGGAAATTCGTAAAAGCACAGAATCAGTGCTCCCAGACGTCTGCCGAGTCTTGACCATTAGGATCAGTATCGAAACTCAGGATGTAAGGGTCCCTTATTGTTCGGTTAAGATTTTCGGATGAGTAAATTGCGTTTGACGAGGGGTAGAGCGTGGTAGCAATCAGAGTAAGGGACAGAAATGATCGAGGGCCCAGGGCCTGACCTTTGTTCATCCAACACTGAAATTGTGACTGAAAATGAGAAAAAGTGGTTGGGAAATGAACAACGAAACGCTTTGGAAAAAGAGTGTATACACTCCTTTGTTAACAGATTTGGTTTTGCGAGAGAATCACCTGGAACCCAGCTGAAACTCGTTTGTACGTTGAAGACCCTCTCTTCCTGGCCAGTTCGCACTTTTACCACAAATATTTCCCTGGAGTTATTTGAACGCTGGCAACCCTAGGTCAATCGTGGACTTGGATGGTTTTACTGTTGGTAACCGATCGGGGGTCCTAATCAGAGTTCTAATCCCTCTGCACGCCAGTTGACTCAGATCATGCCATTATGCGGACTCGGTTATCTCCGGATGGGGTCCGGAGACGATGCCTGACCTAAAGCTCCCACCTTGACTTGGTGATTGGGCTTGAGTTCTGCAATGATGCCGTGGGTTACACCGGCTGGAACTTCTTTCCACAAGGTTCAACCATGACAGTAAGGCCAAAGGGGAGTGGTCGTGCTACGAGGCGGTCTGGGGTTAAAGTCGTACTGTTCTCTGCGACAGGGGTGTGTAGGCATTAATCTGTTCCCCCCAGCTGATCAGCATGTCCATATTAATGGAAACAGCGTTGCTGTCTATCCCCGAGGAAGGACGGGTTAGCAAAGGTCGCCCCAAAAACCGCACACTCCGATCGCCCAACGGTTGACCGTGACCGCTGGTGCATTATCCAATACGGTCAAAATACTTTTAAAACTAAGGAGTCCGGTGCTGCTAAGAAAGCATCTGATGTGCGCAGCCGCATCAGGAATGAGACCGTAATGCCTTATTCCCTGCGTCCTCGGGTTAGGCCAACCCTCTGCAGCCAAGCAGGTCAGACTGTTGAGTCATCGGCTCCGGGCAGTGTTCCCAAAGAAAACCCCACTCTCTGCTGCCTTGTGGGTCAGACTTCTGAGTCAAGGGCTCAAGGTGGGGTACCTCAACCAACCCCCCTTCCTCGGCCTGGGCAACCGGGAAGTACCATGCCCGCGCAGTTCGGTGTCAACCGATGTCCCACCTCAACCGCTTCCCACCACATAAGCAAACGTCTCTGGGTCATTTGACTGTCAGTTATCTGATCGAGGGGCCTTATGCTCCTCACTGTCTACTAACAATAAACAAGTAACCTTCGAAATCCACGAAATCCTTTCCATAAGGGGGCTTTCAGCCTCCGTACTCTGTCAAATTGGCAAACAGGCAATGCTTGCTCAGACCTTATACTCCTTCAAAATTGATGTATGCAGTGTCTCCGAAACACGCATACAAGACCCGAGCGGGGTTAGGTATCTCAGAACGCCAAGGATGAACTCAGCTCTTTCACGTTCCTCCCTCTGTGTGTCCGGTGACCCAGAAGCGATGACTCGTGGAATATGTGGCGTGGGAGTTGTACTCAGCCCCAAAGCTGAACGCGCTTTGCTAGATTGGATCCCAGTCATCATCGTGATTGTCATCTGTAATAACCGTGTACTCGTCGTACAGTGGTTTTAGTTGCCGCAGTTTTGTTCACCGATGATTGGGGGGGGGGAGGGAGCTGCGCATTGCAGGCGGGGGCCAGTAAGCAATCGTCTTTGCGCCGTCCAGTTATTTAGTTCAATCAAGCCTAATGCCTCGGCATAAAAAGCGGTGTCTGTTAGTAGTGTCAGCTTATGCCCCAACGGACTGCAGTTCTGATACGGAGAAGGATACTTTCTATCGAGAGCTATCCGGGTTCATTCGTCAAGCAAAATGTACTGACATTGTGATCATTTCAGGCGATTTGAATGCTCAATTAGGTCGTCTGAGCTCCTTAGACTCACATTTGGGCGGTCGATTCGGAGTCGGCGCTCACCGCACAGACAACGGAGATCGACCCTTTCAGTTGTATGCTGATCATGAACTGTTTTTGGCATGTACGAACTTTCAACATAAACGTTCGCACCGCGTAACCTGACGGCCGCCAACTACAAATCAACCATGGACTCATTTGGACCACGTGGCCATCAGCCATCGGTGGAGAGCCACAATTCAAGACTGCCGTCCCTTCTGGGGCGCACCACTTGATCACGCCATGATGCGTGCACGCCTGAAAGTTCGTTTCCCTTCAGGCCCTGGCAAGTCAGCAAGGTAGTAGACAAATTAGTTCACCTAGGCAGTTGTATTAGTCCCGGTGGTTTCGCGGAAGATGATATTCCCATCCCGGTGGGAAAGCCAGAGTAGCTTTTATGAGCCTGCATCACCTGCGGTGTTAGCGTGACGTCAGTGTTGCGAGAGTCGAGTAGTTCCAGGACGGGCTTAGAAAGGAGACAGAATAGAAAGACGTGATGTACGCTTTAATCGTCTAATAACTGTAGTACATGAGCTGAAAATAGAGTGAGAATCACGAGTTAATGGGTTATGCAAAGGTATGGGTTATACAGTCATGACAGTCAGCTTATTCGTCAAGGGTCTAGTTTGCAATGCTGCGGTGCACTCCATATTACTATACGGATCAGAAATCTGGCCGCTGCGCGCCGAGAACGTCAAAAGACTTTCAGTGTTTGACCGTTGGTGTCTTCGGAGCATTGCCCGAGTCTAGTGGGGACACCGGATCAACAATGCAGAAGTACGTCGAATGGTATTCGGGAGAAATAACTCATCCTCGATAGATGAACTGATCAGACTGCATGGGTTGCGCTGGTGTGGCCACGTGCTGCGTATGCTAGTCGACCGACTTCTTCGAAGGGCTCTTTTCGCACAACCAAGTGAAGGGTGGAAGAGATCCAGAGGCGGTCAAACGATGACTTGGCAGCGAAGTATGAGAAAGCCATCACCAGCAAACTCAACTTCGCTGGTCATTGCCGTCTTCCTGATGGGGACCCCGAAACGGGCCGTATCAATGGTTAGAGACATTGTCAGACATGGCCCTGTCGCAACCCCAATGGCTCTCACGCATCCAAGCTATTGCCTTCGATTCATAGCTCCCTTCCCTATCCCCCCACTTAACAGTCCACTAACTGCTGTATTTATGCACTGGAGGTGAGAACCTCCGATCTCTATATTTGCATATTTCTGGGCGGGTGAGGGTGTATGGTGAGCTCTCCAAAAGCCTTCCTACAAAAAGTGGTGTCAGACAAGGATGTCCACTCTCCTCATTCTTGTTGAACTTCGTTATCGATGAAATAATGAGGCGAACACTGGACGGTTTTCAAAAC